GAAGCAGTACCTGAAGAACGTCTCGGCCCAGAGGGACTGCTTCCAGTGAGTCCCCTCACCTCCTCACACACAGCAGCCGCAGCACCCTGACCCTTCTGAATATTTAACGCGCTCCATTTTCCGAGCCACCACCTCGCTGCAGTTCGCACTTTATTCAGCGCCTCACACGCTTCCCGCCCTGGCCTCAGATCCCATCGCTCAGGGGGAAGCAGACGGAGCTCTGCTCCGTTTCATCACTCTGCCCGATAAAGCTGCAGCTCCCAGGTGGTTCAGATCACCCAATCCTGATACGGCGTTCAGGACACGGTGCCCGGGACTATCAGAAACCTCCTGTGCCTCCCACTCAGGGCCTCAGGGGGAGAGAGGAGTCCAGAGTTAATGTGCTGTGTGTAATGTCCAGTCACATTCTGGCTCTGCCCGCCGTGACTTCAATGATCTGACTCTCCTTCTTTTTTGTGTAGCACTTATTCCACTAGGGCAGGGGGGTGAAAAGCAGAGGGGACAGAGGCAGATGGACATCTGAACAGCCCTAAATGATGATTTAGAGAGAAAAAGTAGGGGGAAACAGGGAAACACACTCTTACCTGTTGTGGACAGCCTGGTGATCTAAGAGGGAAAAACAGGAAGATTAAAAGTGTAAAGCTGCTCAGCATGTTGACAAGTCAGAGAACAAAACAACTAACTGTTGTTAGTCTGAACTAAACGGTGAGAAACCAAACTTCTCCTGAACTTTGCGACAGCCAGACGGTGGTGCTGAGCTGGACTGCAAATGGACAGAAAGTCCTCTTAAAGTTGGTTCTCTCCACTTCTGATGGGTGAGGGATGACTTCCTGCTCTGGCCTCAGGATTCCTGATCAGTCACTCAGTCCCCGCTGTCACGCTGGGGTCCATTCCCCGGCGGGGCGGCCCTCCTTCTTCTTATTTATCTCCTTTTAGGAGTAATAAAGCACTCAGAATGGAGGACTGGCCCAAAGTGAAGTTTCAAAGCAATTTGTTGTTGTTTTTTTTCTGGTTCTGAATTAATTCCATTCACTGGATTTGATTGGATCCTAACTGGCTTAGACTGGGCTGGGTCATCCAGCTGCCTTATACTAAATTCTGATCAAATTTTTTAAAACAACATCAATAAGCATGATGATTTTTTCTTTATTTTGTTGCATTTTGCATTACAGCTTTTCTAATTCGGACTTCAGCCTCCTCATATAACACTGAGTCCCTCATGAGACGACTCCTGGCTACTGGAAACTCTTCACTGAGGCTTTTTATCTCCACCAGCCGCAGCTGGTTGTTCTCTTCTGTCTAAAGGGGACAGAATGGCTCCTACACTACCACCGACCAGGTTCCTGTTGTGTTGGAAGCCATTAGCTGTGAAAAAACGCCGTCTGAAAACAGGTTTACCACTGAGACAACGCCACTGACCCTTTGTTTACTTCAGCTCCGGTGGGAAATTCAACAGCTGCTGCTCTCACAGATAAAAAAAGCTTCACTTCTGAGTTCAGGCTTTTCTGCAGGAGGACGACCAAGTATTGACCTGTTAGCTGTGGTCAGCTGGCAGCTGGACGGCTCCTGCTGTGATCTGGCTGCTGGTTTTTCTTGGTTTCAGCAGGTTTATCACCAGTATCGGAGGGTTTGTAGTTCATCTGAATCAATCATGAGGGAAAGAGCTTTTGCTGGTGGAGGAAACCTGCTCATTATTTGTGAAACGGCCCATCCTCCGTGCACCACTCCTCGGCTTTGTCTCTCCTCCTGCGTGGATCTGAACCTCCTGAACTGTCTGTGATTTATAGTTTCATTTCGTCTCCGCTCCCATGCTCGTTATCTTTGAGGGTGCACGTGCGGTTACATGCAGTAACACTTATTACACCCTCCAGCAGAGCTCCAGAAGCCCTGCGAGGACGTGAGGTAACCAGCAGGACCCCTACTGCCCCCTACAGGCTCACCGGGGAACTGCAGCAATCCACGCTTCACTCCGCTCCAAATGAACTGAAAAAACTCTAAAAAAACAGTATTAAAACTCTAAATATGTGCTGAATGTTGTAGAAAAATAAACAAGAAAGCGAAAAAAACGTTCTTTTTGGTTGACAACGTTAAAAGAAATAATCTGGGAAAAGAAAATAAGGGGGAAAGTCTGTGTCTGTACACGCTTAATTCCCTTTCCAGTCCATAATCCATTAGTTTATCCAGCTTCCTTTGTGATACACATAAATGTGTATCTAATTGTTCAGAACATAAACATCAAGTGTGTTATCATGGGATTTTGATCCTATTTCATCCTCTCCACCCACACAACTAGTTTTGCATTTTAATTACAAAATGCAAAGAAGCAGGAGGTGAAAACTAAACGAACACAGACTCACTGACATTGAAACTTCTCTCCCTTCTTTATTCTTAAACAAAGAATCCCCCTCAGCCCGTTTCACTCCACACACACAAACACAAAAAACTTTTCTACGACGACAGTTTTAAAGAAGCAAAGCCTCCATTTTCATTAGAGCTGCAAACATCAATATTTTAGGCTGCAAAGTCCATTCAACAATTCTCATAACTTGCTCTTTAAATGATCCAAACTTTTATTTAAATTATTTCTTTTCTGTTTTTTTAAAGGAGAAACCAGTGAGCTGAGAATATGTTCAGGATAATAGCCTTGATCCTTTCAGATAAATATAATTAATGCATTTCACCTTTATAACCCCAAGAGATCTGACTTCCTTGACCCTTTAATATCAGCCCCATTAATGAGAATCTTTGTGTGTGTGTTTAATCTGCTGTTTCCACACAAAAGGTCTGAGTTTTATTCAAATTGAATGATTCATTCATTGATTGTTACTCTTTATTTCTGTATGCCTTTGGTATAGAGCTAACATTTTGGTAAATATATTAATCTAGTCCCTCTTTGCAGCTTGTTATTCACTTAACTGGTTAGTTTTCATTTTGAAATTAGTCACATTCCTGTTTATTCTGGATCAGATGGGTATTTTGTCTTATTAAAACCCCTTTTCCACATGACCAGATCTTTCCCGTGTAGCTTTGGTCTTTGAATGCAGCACCTGAGGACACTGAGTAGCCATTAAAAGTGTGAAGCCTCCAGAAGATCCGACCTCTCTTTTCTGTCTCTGCTCCAGTGTGACTGCAGTGCGCCTGCCGGATGGTCTGTCCTTCGTTATCTACGAGTTCTGGGATGGAGAGGAGGAGTGGAAGAGGTGAGGGGGGGGCTCCGGGGGGTCCATATCGTTCTCCTTTCCCATCTGTTTGATGCAAAAATCTGCAACTGAGAGCGAGGCCATCGATTCCCGATGCCTGAGGAGTTATGAAACGTCAATACTGAGTGAGCACGTTTCTAATGTTGGTGGGGAAAACCTCAGAGTCAGCGTTCTGGCTCCTCTGAGATGGTTTTTGGAGCCCAGCGTGCCGCCTCCTGCCCCCGCGCTTATCGATCACTGATTGCCGAGTAAAGAGATGCTGCTCTCTGTCCATTACTGCCACGCGCCTGCCGGAGGAACCCCTCCGCCGCCGTCGTTTAGTTATGCCGGCGGACCCGAGGGGAAGATGCTCATCTGTTTCTGCCCCGCTGCTCCCTGCGGCCGGCTGCCATTAATATTTCAGCTCTTACCGTAACTGGAGGGCCGGGCTGAGCAGCGGAGGGGGCTCCGCAGACGCCTCTCACCCTCTCCTCTGGTTCCAGGCATCTCCAGTCGGCCCCCAACAAAAGCTTCCAGCATGTGAAGGTGGACACGCTGGGCCAGCCGGAGGCCGTGTCGACCGTGGCCGTGCCAGGTGAGTGAAATACCTGTGGAGGTCCTCAGTCATCCAGGTCCAGCTCTAAGAGTCCAGTTCAGGCAGCTGGAAGGGAAGTTTTCCTCTGATCCAAGAAGCTTCTTCAGCTCTAACTGATGGTAGAGGTCTGAGTTAAGATACTGTAGGTGGAACTAAAGAATTAGGGGAAAAACCAAAGGTGGCTCTGGTCCCTCCTGCTGGGGGGCCATGGAGGTCACCTGGGGGGGTTGATGGTTGTTAGCAGCTAAATGACCAAAAATAAGTGGAAGAAGGAGAAAAAAATGAAAATGAAGTAAAAAGAAGCAGCAAAACAATGAAAATACAGTTTGAAGAAGTAGGAAAAAAATGAAAAAGAAGTAAAAGAAGAAGCAAAACAATGAAAATATAGTTTGAAGAAGTAGAAAAACTATGAAAAATAAGTGGAGAAAGCAGATAAACAACCAAAAATAAGTGGAAAAGGCAAGAAAACAACCAAAAATAAGTAAAAGAAGCAACAAATAACCAAAAATAAGTAAAAGACGCAACAAATAACCAAAAAGAAATAAAAGAAGCAGCAAAACATTGAATTAAAAATGTAGAGTCAGGTTAATACACTGAAGTTGGAACTAAAGAATTAGAGGAAACCAAAGGTGGCTCTGGTCCCTCCTGCTGGGGGCCATGGAGGTCACCTGGGGGGGTTAATGGTGGTTAGGGGGCTCTGATGGGTGCGTAACTCCCTGTCAGAGTGGTTTGGGTCTCATCGGGTGAGGGCAGCTGCTCTGGGGATCCTAACACCCGTGTGGTTTCTCTCTTTAGCGGCCTGGTGCAGCGTGAACAGAGACTGAGCATGAAGACACTCAACTACACGCCAAGACTCCTGGACACTCCACTATTCTTTACCCCCCCCCCCCTCCCCTCTGACCTGCCCCTGCCCCCTCAGCCCTCACACCCCTCCCCTCTTTTTGTAAGTACATGTTTACATAGTGGAAATCAGCTGATGGGAAGCGAACGGGGCGACTCTCACCTTTGTGTTTAGCCGGTTCAGGATTTGGGATCTTTATCGTGTCTTAAGTAGCTTTGCGCCAGTCGGGGGGGGGGGGGGTTGTCATGTAGCAGGAACCCTGAGGTTGAGTTTTTCATGTAGCGCTTCGAATCTTTGGGTTTGTTCATGAATGCAGCGTTTTTGTTCCCTTCTTTTCTCTCCACAAAAGCCGAGCCCGGCTCCTCCCGGCCGTTCAGCTCCCGCTGAGCAGACCACACCTCTGAGCAGAATCCGTTGTCAGATCGACATGCAAACTCAGGAAAAACAGAAACGTGAACCTCTGACAACTGTCCACCTAGTGCCCACCTCCCCGGGCCGGGATCTTAGGTGGATGATATTAGCTTAGGAAAAAGAGGGCAGCTTTTAGAACCAGGGCATCCTCTGGGAAAATCTCATAAAAGCCATTTTTCCCACTTTTTGTCAAACGTCACATCAAACACTAACAAACAGATTGATCCACCAGTTAGGAGTCCTTTCCTCTTTGAGATGAGGAGCACAGCTGCCTGTAATCAAAGACAAGAGAGCTGCGTTATACACGTGACCACTGGGGGCAGCGCAGGGCATTTGTCCACACGGTGGGCAAAACGAGCTAAAAACTGGAGAATTTTTAAGCTTATTCTGAAACTCTCTGTGCCATTCGTCTTTGTATCTCTCTGTATCTTTAGAAGATAAGCAGAGGAAAATAAACCCGTGCAGGAATGATGTATTGTCCAATTCGTTCAAAACAAGACACTTCAAACTTGTTGCCCATTTGAGACTTTAATAATCGAGATTGTTAAAACTGTTATCACCCACGGCCTGTTGGGATGTTTTGTTAAGTTCTCTAATTAGTTTAAACTGTCCATGTGTGGACTGTGAGGTGTTTATTGAGATCAGAAAAGGCTGTTTTCCCCCCCAACAAAAATCTCCTGTTCGAAATCAGATTCCGCTCCTTTTCAATCACAGGCTCAGTCAAACTAATGTAGACGAGCGCAGGAGGCCATTTGCTGACTCAGCGCCGCGCCGACGGCAGAGCCGGAGCCTCAAACCAGGGTCAGCGAACGCACCATTTTAAAGCACTTAAGGGGGTTCTGTTCATTTGTCATTTTGACTTAATGCAGAATGACTTTGCACCAAATTCAAAGGGTTTTTTATCCCTGGAAGCTGTTCCTGGCAGACGGATTTTAGCTGCAGGTTTTTGGTAACGCTGGTAGAGCTGCTTCCTGCTGAGGAGCCACAGAGGGAAACCACCGTCACGCTCCATTCAGAGTCCAATCCGACATGTGTCAGCAAAGCTCCAACAGAAGAGGCCATTCCCACTTCAGACAGGGTTGAGAAGAGTCTTATTAGTGGTTTCAGTAAAAAGGGAAAAAGACATTAACTCGACTGTAGGACTTCAGAAAGTGGAGCAATTTGTATCCTGTTTCGATTAAATTCAAATTTGACTCAGTGCTGATTCGATATTCGGTTTCAGGAAGAATTCTGAACACCTGTAAAAGGTTTCACCCCGTTTTTGGTGCATGTTGTAAAAGTTTTTTTCAGCAGAAATCCACTTGAGTTAGACTTTTTTTAAGCCCTGAAAACAGAAAGACCCGAAGGCCGAAACAGAGAGAAGCTCTCAGAATAACTCCACCGGTGTGAAGCCTGCAGGTTTCTCCCAGTCAAACAGAGATAAACACGTTCCTCTTACAGCCGTTTTCCAGCTCTGCCGCGTTTGGTGCAACGCAGTCACATAAAACAGGCTCAGATCTCATTTTGGAGCAGCAAAAAGAGCCCAGAGGTGTCGTCTTCTCAGCCGGAGCGTTGGCTGGATGAACACAGGCTGCTGTGGGAGTAACGTCTGAAGCCTCCACGCTTTCCAACCACCCTTCTTTATGTTAGCCGAACACTTTGCGGACAGAAGTAGAAACTTTGAACAGTCACATCAGGCTTTTTTTAACAGGAGAAGAGCAGATTGTTTGGGACTGGGTTCCTTTTTCCCTTCTGTTTGTGTCTGAATCGGCTTTGGAAAGCTTCTGTTATCTGTGGAAGTCCAGTAGAGGTTGTACATAAGAAAATGTTGTTCTACTCTGATTCTATTTGTATTTATTGACATATTTTAGTGCTATGGTGCAAATGTTTTTTCCTGGCTGAGAAGTGGCAGCAGCTTTAGAGGTTCTCTTCCCACTTAGCTTGAATCAAACGGAGGCCATCGGTAACAGAAAACCCGCCTGAATACGAAGCCTTAAACATCAGCGCGTCACAGAGGGGCTGCCAGGGCCGTCAGAAAGCAGATTCTCGGTAAAGAGGGAATCACCTGCGCGGGGGGGGTACCACGAGGAGAAGCCAGCGGCTTCGAGGCTCCCGTTGAGGACAGAAAACGGAGATAAAACTATCATTTCACACACAAACATGCAGACGCTGTCAGGCAGCTGTCAGGTGTCCACCAACTGATGGCGCCAGACGGTTTTCACCACTTATTTTCCCTCTAAAAGACAGAAAATTATTGAAAAGCTCACAATAAAGCTAATTATCTTTTTTGTGAGTCAGTCAAAACCGCCCAGTGATGCGTTTGGCTGCTCAAATGTTGGCGTTTTGATCATGAAATGCCGGTGGCCAAACTCAGCAGGTGGAAAATAAGCCCTCTGTTAGAAGCTGAACTTTCACTTTTAAAAAGGATCAATTTAAAAAATGAGACTCCCCCTACGCTTTGTGGCCATTTTCTGCTTTTTCCCACCAAGTTTCTGTCACATCTGGATCAAAAGCAGGACTGTCCCACTTTCCCTCTCAATTTCAGGGTGTTTTAGCTTGAAATTTGACCTCTTTTACATCCGGAAAAGCCTTTCAAAGGCAGGTTTTGCTCCTGAAACGTTGGAAAAGGGCTGATTCTTCCTCCCGGGAGCTGTTGGTTTGCCACAGCGAGCCTCTGCTGGCGGCTTTGCCTCGCAGTGCCCCCTCAGAGTCACTCTGTGGTGACGGTTTCTGACCCGGTTTCTGTGCCCCATCAAGCAACACACGTTCAAAAGTGATGGGACACCACTCACAGGAAGGTCACGGTGGAGCTTCGGTTGGTTTTAGGGCTTGTGTCCACACAGCACTCTGTAAAGAAGCAGCTTTTTCCCTTCTTTTATACAATTATGAGAGCAGGAAATGGAGCTCAGTCGCCCGATACTAAGTGTGGATTATCGTATTAGCAGAAAGGCCCTGAAATCGTCTGAAAAAGCTCCTGTTAAAATCACCTCCTTCTTATAAAACCTGCATAAATACACCAGCCATCCTCAGTTTGTTGCCTCCAACAGAAAAAAGGTGTCATTAGAAAGAGTTAGAGATAAAAGGCAAACGCCAAAAGGCTGAAAGTGGGCCGCTGTGTTTGTCCTCAGAAACAATCCGGCGGGAGAAGCACAATGTAAAAAGCAGTGAGTATTGTGACTTACAGACAGTTTATGATCGGCGTGTTTAGAGAGTCGTGGTTTGACTGTTTACTGGTTTAAAAGGTGTTTTCTATAGTGCAAAGCTAACCCGCTCCCCTCTGTGGAGCTCTGGGCTCTGGTCCGACCGCCGGTGTGGAAGAGGCCACACAGATGAATTAATCGGGCTTCTCACAGGCGTCCTGTGGACATTTTGACCAGCAGCCAGTAAACGGCAGCTTTTTGGGGTGATAACAGATTTATGAGTGTAATCAATAAGACAGAGAAACCCAAAAATACAGGAATGAAATATCAAAGGAGTGTTTTATCCACATTTTGGTGGTAAAAGCTCTAAAGTAGACTGAGTTTTAGCTATTGGACATATTAAATTACCTGATTTTAAACCTGATTTGAGCACAATTTGTTAGAGTGGAAGAATTCTCTAAATTTTAAAGGCGTGGCAACAACATTTGACAGTTAAAGCAGTCGGCTTTCGGGCTCCCTGAAGGTCTTTCAGAGTTTTTCTGTGGACACAGGCTGCTTTTTCAGGCATTTCCAACCAGTCTGTGTACTGGAAACAGAGCCCTAACTCAAGGGATGAGGCAATGATGACAGAGGAGGGAGTGTATTGTTTGAGGATGTGTCAGTAAATCAATTCTCTAAAAAAAAAAAAAAAATAGGATTTAAAAATGAGGCGACTTGATTGTTTTGCCCCACATTTAAGAAACAAACGGAGCTCTGAAGCACTCCAAACCTCACCCTGAGCTGCGAACAAATCTGTCCACAGGACGGCTGCAAACCCCTTTTTTTTTTACCAAACTGCTAACACATGAAGCCATACTGCATGAGTCTGTTTCCCGCCCGCTGGCCCAGAGCCCCGGAGTGGCCTCAGAGTGACCCCGGAGTGGCCCGGGATCTCCACCGGAGGCCGGGCGATAAGTGACCCGTCAGAGAAGCCAACACTGTTTTTTCCTGCTGATACATTCCTGAATGTCCCACAGACTGTGTTCTTTTTCTATCCTCCCGCTCCTCAGTGCACCCTGTGCTTCGTCATACAAACGAAAGAGTCCTTTTCTATCCTTCAAACGAGTGCATGTCTACTGAATGTCCAGTAACTTCTTTGCTGTAGTGTTAGGCCGAGCTACTCCGCAATGGGTTTTGTGCATTTCTTAACTTCTTTTTTTTTTCCATTTATAGTATTGCTATGAAGGAGACAGAGACTAAAATCTATTATATGAAATATATACGACTAGAAAAACAGCATACAAGAATGAACTTTCACTTTTATGGCAATGTTTAATGAAATATTAATTCTTAATGTATGTTTCAGTAAAACTGCTTTCTCTTCAAGTGTAGAGACTCGTTGCAGGGATGCAAGTATTATATTTGGTCTTTAAAAAATATCTTGGTGAAATTCTAGATGATGTAGAGTGATGCAATTCAATAAAACTACAAAAGTGAAAACTCTGGGGTTTGTCTTTATATTTTGGGCATCGTCCTGTTCTCCAGAGCGTCTCAGAGGGAGGAAATCACCACAGATCCACCACAGATTCACACAAAAAAACACATTTAATCGCTTGGTTTTCCTTCACGCGACACTTTCTGCCGCCAAGGGAACGTTTTGCATCCAAATGTGAGAACACAGCTTTTTTTTTTTTCATTTACAAATCCAGCCGAGGATCTATCTACAGTAAGTCTTCCCTCCCCGTCCGCTGGGCTTCGACTGAGAGGAAAACAGGTGAGAAACCACAGAAAAAACCTGAGAAATGAGGCAGAGGGCAGGAGGCCCTGGGCTCGGAGCGCCGGCCGTCCGGAGGGAACATCTGGATGGCCGGAGGGAACATCTGGATGGCCGGGGGGGGGCTCAGATGTGTCCCAGCAGCTGCAGGACGGCGATGGTGGTGCTCTGGCCGAAGATGAAGGCTCCACAGAGCAGGGTCAGCCCCCCCCACGCGGTGAGGGCCACCCTGGAAGACAG